CCGGGCGCCCGAGATGCACGAAGTGCCGCGCGGGCCGACGAAAACGGCTGCGCGCGTGCAGCTTGGACGCGGCGCGCGCGTGCAGCTTGGACGCCGCGCGCGCGTGCAGCTAGGACGCGGCGCCCGGCCGACCACGTGATCAACTTCTGTCTGTTAGCTTTGGATAGCGTCACGGACTCAATCCAACTGGTCACCTCACGATCGTTCCGACAAGACTTCCACGTTCGCGTCATGAAGGACTTCTTGCTTTCACCCGGGAAATTCACAACCGAGGCGACATGTGATGCAGTCTCATACTCCAACTTAGTTGGTAATCCTGACGAAGACGCTGGATTAGCCTGATTGTCCTTCTCGGGTGGCTTATTGGTGCTCAAGTCTGATGCCTTGCCTTTTTCAAAGGCTTGAAACAATTGCCCCTTTGCCTCGGGTTTGAGAAGCTTGGTCGATCCGTCCGGAGCCTTAGTAGCCAAGGGATCATCATCGCGGGGCGGAGGTGGAGGTGAGTCCACATTAATGGGCAGCCCCGGCTGTCCGTTGCTGGTTGGCGCTGGGGATGGTGCACCACTCTCCGCAGATGTCGGTTCACGGGCGCTCAACGGTGCAGGACTTTTCTCAAATCGGGCAAGCTGTTGTTGCAGAACATGTATCTGTCCTTCCAATACAGCAACTTTTGGATCCGAGGTTTCTTGTGGATACAGACCTAGCATGAACTCAACAACCTTTGCGGCCAACTCCTGAGACGCTTGCAACTTCACATCGTTAGCAATGGGATTTCCTTGACCTCCTCGTGCACCTGACACCATCATGCCAAGCTCATCCAAATCAATAGATTCCTCTCGTAACTTCGAGAAGAGTGCATGACAGAATACGGTTTCCGCCATGCTGCGAAACCCGGCAAAGATCGTGGGCTTCCCTTCTGAGATATGTCGAATCCAATAACTGTTCCAGCCTTGATACAACACAGCATGAAGTGGAATAACATGTGTGGGACATTGATCGATCTGCTTCTTTGTAGCCCACTCCGTTCGACGAACCCATCGATGCAGGCTCAATCCTGCAACCGTTCTAGAATCCAGAAAATGAGAGTTCTGGACCCTTGCGGTGAGGCGGGCCCGACTATCCGGCATTGGAGGAGCCCCGGGGAGCCGAGGAGCAATCGGTACCGAAAGCATCTGTGCCAAACGTGGATTCGGTTGCCACGGTAAATGTTGGGGCTGTACTGCGGGATATGCTGGTCTGCCGCCTTGCCAACTGGCAGGCGGCGTCGGAGTAGGAAGCTGCCATTGAGGACACATGGGCTGCGCTCACGCTCCATGCTTCCAGTAGATCTGACAGGTCGTGGCGTAGGTGAGACAATGATGCAATGGGCGCTTGCCGCCAATTGGGCCGATTTCCCGAGTGCTCTCTCCAGAAAAGTTGATTTCCGGACATGACTGTTGATTTGCACTGGTGATCTCCACTTGAACATGTAAACCTGCTAACACAAGAACGCCTTCG